TCCGCGCTCGCCTGGCACGAGCAACCATGTGCTCGTCTTCATTCCAGTTCTCCTTGTCAGCTTGCTCCTGCATCTCCAGAGCATCCGTAACACGCTTCTCAAAGCGGCAGCTTTCTAGCCAATCTACAGCGAGATACTTGCCAACTCGCTCAAATAGCTCTCTCGAGCGTGAATCATATACGGAGTCTGCTATGAGCACTAGGAATAGATCGCACAAGACTGTCCATCGCAAATCGATGTCGAGATTCTTGCTTGATGGAAGTTGGGATGGCGACCTGGCCTCTGGGTAGTCATAGCCGTCGTCCTGATGTTCATCGTAGGGCGGGGGTGGCGGTGACTGAAGACCCTCCTCCGAGCCTGATGTTGAAGCATGTTTCGACTTGGACTTTTCTCCTGGAGTTTCGGGACGAGGCGATGATAAGGATGCTCTCGCAGAGCCTGATCCACTGGCGACGTCTATGTCATCTGCTACTGGGTTCTTCACCCGAGCATTCTGCATTAATGCTGGCGTGAGATCAGCCGGAACCACACCGTGTTCTGACAGTTGCTCAATCATAATCTGTTCAGAAGCATTGATATCCATGTGTGCGTATATCTTGACCATGACTTTTTGTGACCACATTTTTGTCGTTCCCGACTGCAGCTCTAGCAGCTTCTTAAGTCTTCTGCTGGTTGTCTTGAAATTGGAAAACTTCTTTTCCATTTCCTTGGTGGCTAATCGCACCAGTCCGACGTATGCGACACGCTGTCCTTCGGTGAGGATGTTTTTGGTGGCTTGCATCTGTTGGCGTGGATCTCGCCCCTCTTCGTCTTCATCTGCTAACGCGGTACTTTTTTCTTTGAAGAGATATGCGGTGTTGTCATCCATACTCGTCTGTGAATCAGCGTCATCGTCCATGATAACCCTGGTATACCCTTTGGCAGCTCCTCCGACATTTCCGTAGCCATGCATGTCCTCCAGCTCCTCTGCATTCTCCTTTGCAATGAGTCTGTTATCGTCGTCGTACATGTCGTAGTGAGCATACGCAGGCATGGTCTGCCATCCGTCGTCGTCATCCTCCTCCACCTTGTCCTTGAAGTCATCTTGTGGCTGTGTGACGAGGCGTTGGTGCGAGTATTCGGATATGGTTCCATTTACGCCTTTCGGAGGCTCGAAGGTTGAGGGAGACTTTATGGATGCTGGCGAGTTTAGCTTCGTTTCTATGAGTCTATCCTCAGGTAGCTTCTCAGGTTGTTCCTCAGGCATCTTTTCGAGCCCCTTCTGTTTGGGGTTCTCCACTGGCACCGTGGCCTGTACGTCGGCTTGAGTCTGCGCATCGTTCTCCGCCTCAATCTTCTCCGGTTTGGCCGGTGGAGTCTCAATCTTGGTCTCCTTTTCTTGTGGAGTATCTTCCTTTGCCTTTGGCGCGATGGCCTGCTGTGCGCTGTTCTCTTTGGAAGCTACGGCATCCTCAAACTTGTCTGCTTCCGAGTCTGAGCTGTCCTCGACCGGAGTGCGTGGTCGCCTTTTCCTTATCGGCAGGCCAAAGTCATCGTACTCAACCTCTTGGTTGGCATCCTTGTTTGGTTCGGTAGTCTTTGTACTATTTCCCTCATTCTTGGAGGGCTCGGCGGGGTTCTCGCTCATTCTGGTGGGACTACCGTAGGAGACGCATGGGGAGGTCGAGCGGTTTGGTGTCAATTGCGGAAAGGCGCGGCGTTTGTGTCGGTGAAGAGGGGGCAAGCAAAGACCGAAGAGGGAGCAAGTGGTCCTGGTGCCCTCGGGGCGGATTTACAAGACGAATGCGGAGAGGGACGGGGGTGTCGTTACCTGCCGCAGGGTACCGAATCCGCAGCTAGCGTGTCTGGTGCACGGCCTAGGTTCCGCGCGCAGTTTGAACTTTTGGCCGCCTTCCTACGTAAATTTCTTGCCCGCAATCATCCACCACACCAGAGCACACCGTCGCCATGAAGCTGAAGCGCGCAAAAGTAGGCTCACATTACCTTCTGCTTATCACTGTATTTTATACTAAACAGCAACACAGGCATACAAGAAGCAGCTCCATCAATACGAAGTCAACTTTGGATTCCGCGAACCCTACCAAGTTCTGCTTGATTCACAAATTCTGCAAGATGCATACAATTTCAAGATCGACCTCGTCGCGCGCATTCAAAAGATGCTTGGTGGACAAGTCAAGCCCATGATTACCACTTGCGACATGCGACACCTCTACAATGCGAAGCCCAAGAACGAGACTCTCATATTACAAGCAAAAGAGTACGAGCGCCGCCGATGCAACCATCAAGACCTCGATGAACCACTCAGCACACACGACTGCCTGAGCTCTGTCGTAGATCCCAAAGACAATGCGACGAACAAGCACCGATACGTAGTTGCGGCCAATGATTCAGATACGCGCGCAAAAATGCGAACAATTGCCGGTGTACCCATCATATATCTAGCCAAGTCTGTGGTACTCATGGAATCTATGGCTGAAATCACAGAGCAGCACCGTGAGCGGGAAGAAAAATCAAAATTCAAACTGGGGCTCAAAGGACAGCGCAAGCCAGATGTGCCGTTGAAGAGGAAACGAGAAGACGAGGGACAAGACGGTGAGGGCAGTCGCTCTATTGAGGAAAATTCTACGGGAGACGCAAAACCCAAGCCCAAGAAACGAAAGGGCCCCAAGGGCCCCAACCCGCTGAGTGTCAAGAAGCCCAAGAAGGAAAAGACGGCTGCACAGTCGAGTGCTACCAAGAAGACACGGCCATCAACATCGAATACAACCGATGGAGGCAATCGAGGAAATGAGGGTGAGGATGGTGCACCGCGTAAGAGGAGGAGAAAGCACAAGCCCAAAGCTGAGGGTGGTGATGAGGCACAAGGTGGTGAGGGGCCGGCCTCGCCATGAATGGACTCGGGTATTGAAGCAGACCTGGATTCTAAGTAGGTCTGTGGGAATCGAAAACTGGAAAAGTTAAGAAGTTGAGAAGCGATAAAAGCGGAACAAAGCATACCCAAAAGCGCCTATGATAGACGCATATGAAAGACGTCATCGTGGACGAAAATGTTTGCTAAAAGAGAAGCCATTGTATACAACAGCACCTCTATACCCGCTTGCCTTGCGCAAGCATATCGGAAACTTTGGGTGGAAGGACAAGAGTGCTCCTGTCGTTGCGTTTTACAAACTCGACGACGACTTCGGCAGTCTTCTCGGGGAGATCTTCATGAAGAAAGTGACCAGCGGCAGGAAATACCTGCAGCTGGAATTTACCTGCGTAATGTTAGATATCATAAAAACGGCAGGATAGCCTTTTGGGAAATATACCCTGCATCTGCCCTATCATCAACTCCTTGTCCAATCTGTCTGTGCCCGCAAGCAGCAACAGCTTGGCTCCCTTGCCCCTGAGAAATTTACCACTCATGCCCGTGAACCAGTTTTCCCAGTACGGCTCTGTGCTCGAGATTTCTGTCCGCCATGCCCATCGCCCGTCTGGAGTTTGTAGCAACAAGCTCGGTACGCTAGCTCTGGCTGACTGTGGGTTGCGCAGCGTGCGTGAACGGATGTGCCATTCGATAGCAGCAGGCAGCGATGGGAACGACTTGGGTCTACTGGCCAAGTAGGTATGCATGTGTCCCAGTGTTTCCATGGCCGAGCCCTCGACTACGTCTAGGACTCCGAAACCCATGAGCTTGTTGCCTAACAGTCCCCTGTTGGCGGCATCGGTAACAACTGCCCCACCCAAACTGTGTCCGATTAAGACAACCGTAGGGAGGTCGCTCCAGCCCATCTTGGCTTGCGTGAGCAGAATCATATCCAGTAGATCCTGGCTAAGTTGGGCAATGCTTAGATCCGTGTCCACTTGCCCGCTAGCATCCCAGACTACGCTGCCATGATCGCGTGCCTCGACAGCGAGTATGCCGATGTCTGGCATGGCCTTCCTGATCTCCTTGGCGGCCAAGGCAAAAGTCATTGCAGAGCTTCCGGCGCCATGATGCAGTACTATGAGCGGGGCCTTTGGCGATGCTGGCGGTGTGAGGTAGACATGGAACTTTGCATGGCCCGCGTCCTTCCGATCTTGTTCGAGATAGAACTCCTGGGCAAAGTAATCGGACCAGTGGATTGCGGGGGCGGGTCTCAGCGTATTGGATGGTCTGACTGTGCCGGTGCTTGACATTGACGAGGCTGAGGACGAGTCATCCTCGTACTCGGGCGGCTCTTCCTGCAGTGGCTCAGGCGGCGGCAGGGAAGAGAGCTTGGTTTTGGCAAACTCTCTGGCCAGACTGGACATGGCAGCTTGGGCGAGGCTGTATGCACAGCGTCTGAAAGCAGGCTTCGGGTACGCGTTGCGGTCCGCGGTGAGTTGATTGGTCCACTAAATGGTGATGAGGGCGCACGTTATGCAGCTTTCCGATGAGTTATATGCCTGGATCGGTGGAAGGGCAATGCGTGAGGGGGGCTTAACACAATGGGGTGGTCCTGTCTACTAATCGCCGGCAGGGATGAGAGCTCCCAGTACGTCTAAGCGAGTTGTTCACAACACGAGACTGGCCCATGGCAGACGCAGTCTCTCGACCGACCCCCCTGTGGAGAAGTGCCATGTGCACGATAGGCGAGAACAACACGAGACTGGGGAAGCTTATTGACCATGCCATGGACATGGGTGACGTGTATCCGATCTGCTACATATATGCAACTACATATGTACACGGGCGTGGCCGCGGGATCTGGATTTATGATTTGCGACTAGGGTGCCCGCCCCGCGAGCTTGGATGCATGCCATGATGACGTATGTCGATCCCGCCTCTCCTAGCGCCATGGATGAGCTTCAGTAAAACCTCCGCGCCCCCAAGACGCATCCATCACTTCGACCAGCTTCACACGACGCTCTTCTCCCTTTTCTCCTTTCAAGTACATCAATCACACGTAGTTCTACAATTTACCTCACCTCGATTGGTTCCTCCCAGTCACACATAAACAACAAGGGCTTCCCTATCCACAACACCTCCGCCTGCCACCATGTGGAAAGGCGCCAAGGACAATGGCGATAATGGCCTCACGCATGAGGACCCTTACCCAATTCCCAACGACGATGAAGGCTCTAGGACATTTAGGAGAAGTGAAGAGCCCAACGAGAGGACCAGACTTCTGGATCGCCCCAGGCCACCACCCAATTCAGATGGCTATCTCGACCCAGATGACCCAGCTGTAGGTCAAACACTATCAGCATACAACATCTTGTACTAACAATGGCTGCAGGTGTCACCTTACAATCTCTGGACCGTACGGGCCATGCGCTATCTCACCATCCTGTTCTTGATCATCAGCTTCTTGTGGTGGGTTCTCTTACTCGTCTCCATCTTCGTCTCTCCTCCTGGCCTCCACACGCGTGGCTCCGGCTTCTTCGACTTCGCCTACACCTGCCTTACCATTGGCAACCTCCTCGTAGTCACCATCTTCTTCATCACACCAGCCAAGGGCTTGCGCATCACCACATCCATCATTGCCGGTCTCTTGGCCATCGACATGATCCTCATCCTATCAATTCCACGTATAAGGCTTGAAGAGGGTTGGGTTGGCATTGCAAGCGTCATCTGGGCCTTCCTGATGGCTGTCTGGTGCATCTTGACTGACCGTGTTGTTGCATACGGCAAGCGAGAGGAGGAAGAGCGTCTTACCGGACGCGCAGAGACCCGCCGCACATTGAAGGAATGGGTTGCTGTTCTTGTCGCTACCATTGTGACTGTCATCTTCATCGTCATTGTCATCCTGATGACTGCCACCCTGGGGCTGCGCGGCCGCGATGCAACACTCAAGATGTACGGTGACCGCATTTTGGTAGATGGAGACAAGTACGCAGTTCATTTGGCTTGCGTTGGCAATGTTACAGAGACCCATGGCTCAAAGGATCCCACTGTCATTCTCGAGGCTGGTGAAGAACCATTGGAGTATGACCTCGAGCACTGGGCCTACGCAGCGTACAAGAACGGCACCATCTCGCGCTACTGCTACTGGGACCGTCCCGGCTATGCCTTCTCCGATAATGCCCCTTCGCCACACTCGGCTGGTATGTCTGCAGATGCCCTCTCTGAGGCACTCGCCAGGTCTGGTGAGGAAGGACCATGGATTCTTGTCTCGGCTGGCACTGGCAGCATCGTCTCGCGTATCTTCAGCTCGCGCCACCTGAAGCAGGTCACAGGCATCATGATGGTCGATCCTCTCCACGAAGACCTTCTCCACCGCATCGGCAACCCTGGACGCGGTTTCTTACTCTGGGCCTGGGGTATCATCTCGCCTCTTGGTACCGTCCGCCTCGCCGGCGCACTCTTCAAGGGCCGTACGCGCGAAGACCGCGTCTACGGCCGCAATGCCTACCAGTCCGGCAAATTCATCAAGGCGCAGCTTCAGGAGAATCTTGTTGCCGACAGCCTGACCAAGAACGAAGTCTCTGCCGCACGAAACATTCAAAGCTCAAACACACCGCTTGTCGTTGTCTCGAGTGGAATCGAGGTTAAGAAGAACAGCGAGTGGGAACGCAAGCAAAAGGACTTGACGCATCTCACCGACAACCTTGTGAGTTGGGATGTGGTCAACAAGGCGCCACACCAGGTCTGGCAGACACTTGAGGGGCGTTCAGTCATGGAGAAGCGTCTCAAGCAGCTGGTCAAGGCTGCTGCAAAGGTCAAGAATGAAGCTGTTGGGGAGCAGGACGAGTAGATGTGCAAACAAACTGAGTTGCACCTGTCTACTGTGAGAAAATGAAAATTAACAAAACGACAACTGGGGAGATTGGGCAATTTTATGTTTCGCGATGAAAGGCTCGTTTGGGGCAGCGGCGTTATTCTTTTTCCTCTCTTCACTTTCCTATTTTCCTGTTTTTTTTAAGCATGCCCTATACCGCTACAACATTTTCGGTCTTCTGCTTCTCTGAAATGCCTCATCTTTTTTCTCTTCTTGCTACTCTTCCACTCGCAAGCACACATCATCCTATATGAACAAGTTATGTAATGTCTAACACTCAATTTCGAAAGAAAAAAAACGGTATATGATTGCTTGCGTTACTTCGTTTCCAGTCTGGACTGCTGCCTTTTCTCTTTCTACACATTATCGTACAATAGGACCGACCCCAAAGTAGCCCAAGGTCGTTACACCTCCAGATTGTGCCAACAGCAGAAAACTCGAGGATGAATAAGGAAAGAGACAGAAAAAATGTGTACAGGTAATGCTTGCAGATATCTTGTGTGTCGCTGATAGATGATCGATACTGGACAAGTGATGAGATATGGAAAGAGACTTGAGGAAAAAAAGAAGAAACAAAGAAAATCCCGGTAATCCCCCTTAGCTTCGTATGATATATTTCTTGGTACAATTTCTTCTTTTGATGGACAAAAAACGCTCATTTAATGGGTAGCGTGGGCGTGAGGAATCTGGTCAAACCGCTGAGAGCGTGGGAACAGCGAGGCATTCTACACCTCTGGGTCCTGCTTGCGGCGGCGGAGACTACCGATGCGTCTCTTGATTGCACTGCCCATGCTCTTCTCAGCATGATCGTTGCTGCTGGCACCGTACGCGGCGGCGGCGTCAGTGTGGCCAGCACTATGGGCACGACGGCTACGCGTCTTCATTTCTGTGCCGCTGTCGCCAGTACGCTTGTGTTCCTTGAGGGCACGCTCAATTGTGAACGATGGTTCACCCTTGCCCTTGAGGTCATCCGGGTGGTATTGCTGCGGCATTTGTTAGTAGGCTGGACTTTGTTGAGATGGGTTGCAGGATGGATGGACTTACGACACCGGGCCAGCGGCGGTAATCACCCCCGGGCTCACGCTGCAGGTCGGCTCCCTCTTCGTAGTCGAGAACCCTTCCGAAACGATCCGGCATGCCGGGTGGGATGTTGGCGACGCCCTCGAGAGGACGGTGTCTCTGGAGCGAGTCGATGATGTTTTCGCGGGGAGTAGCCTTCAATGCCTCCTCGTTGGAGTCCTTGACGGCCGCAAGGGGACTGTACTTTTCAACTCTGTTGCGGGCAATGCTGGCGGCATCGTAGGGACCCTCGTGGTGGTAACGTAGGATGCTTGCCTTGTCGAGGCGGTCAATGATGTCTGCACCCTGCATGTTCTTTTTCCTCAAGTGTGGAGCCCGGTGAGCAACCTTCTCATCATGGCGTAGCTGATCGAGTGGCCGGTGAGACTTGTCACCTGGGTAACGCTCCTTCAAAGAGTTTCCGCGGGTAAGGCCGTTGTTGAGCGTGGATGGTGGGGGGTTGCTGGCTCGTCGTGGCTTGGCTTCATTCATGGATCCGAAGGCTTCGGCACGGTGATTGTTGGGGAACCGGGTGTGCTTGGGGCTGGCGGAGCTAGGAGGGGAGGGATAGTCGTTCCTCCTGCTGTGTGAAGAAGAATACCCATAGTTGGTCACTGAGGCAGACGCTCCCTTGGTATCTGACGCAGCCCTAGAGCGACGAAATGGGTTTGTGCTGGTTGAACTGCCGGTGTGCTGGATGTTGACAGAGGGGTGCTCCTTGGGAGATTCACCAGGCGGTGTGATTGGAGCAGCAGGAGCGAAAGTTGAGCGAAAGTGGCTGTTGAGTCCAGTTACGTCGCTTGGGTCTGGCTCGATCAGAGGATCAATGATTGCTCGATGTGCCTGTGAGAGTCAGCATGTGTATTCGGCTGCGCACCAAAGCGGACGTACGGCTTCCATTGTGATGGTGTTGAGTGTGAGTGTGAGTGTGTGACGGGGGGGTGTTGGCGAGGCTGCGGGCGCAATTATTGTTTTTTTAATATGGCGTGACTGGAGAAAGCAGCCAAGTCTTGTTGTAGTGGCAGTGATTGTGACTGTGATGGTGATGGAGTAGGAGAGATGGAAAGTAGGAACAGGCAATGGGCAGGGGAGACGGGCATGATTAAATGGCTGGGTGGGACGCGTACACACATGCTGGCGGCTCAGTCGCGGCCCTGCGTCAGTTCTCTTTTGCTCGCTCTCGTTCTGGGTGAAGCCAAACGCGGCCCAATCGCTGCCGTACGTCATGCGGATGCGCTAGGCTTAAAGTGGGGCCGGTCCTTGGTCTATCCATGAGTGACGACAGCAGAGGTGATCTTTCACCAACTGCGATCGAGCCCCAACATGGCCCTCGTCGCTTATCCGGACTCTGCCTCGGACGACGAGGGGACGGAGCATGATAAGACCCCCGTCCACCCTGTTCAGCCTGCACACCCGCCTACCAAGCCTGCTGTTGTGGTTGCTGCCGCTGCCGCTGCTGCAAAGCCCAAGCCCAAGCCCAGCGATGCTCTGCCACCGCTCCCGCCAGCTTTCCATGACCTCTACGCGGTAAACGCCCGCGTCAGCACTAGCGACAATCCAGACCTCCACGGCGGGCGTCGACGTGCTGTGCCACATATCCAGGGCAATTGGCCCAGTCACGTCTATCTAGAGTGTAAGGATACCGACATGGCATCCCGCACGTGGTGGACAACAGGCTAACGCCTTGGAGGGATACCAACACAGCGTGAATCCGTTGCTCTACTCGACTTGATAAAGCACGTGAAGAGTGTACTCGAACTTGAAAACACCAAGCGTGTAAAGAAGTTGCCAGTACCAGAGGACATTACGCCTTCGCTTCAATCAGACCTAGGCGTGCCGTTGCCTCTGCATGTATCATTGTCGCGTACGCTGCAAATCAAGACCGAGGACAGAGAAACATTTCTCGACACTCTCGGCGCTTCTTTGCGACGATGCGCAGTCTCCGTATTCAATTTCGAGTTTCAGGGCCTGAAATGGGTGCCCAACTTTGAGCGCAACCGGTGGTTCTTAGTACTTGCCATCAAAAGACCAGAGAACGACGAGTTAAACAGCCTACTCCATGCATGTAACCAAGCTGCTAAGAATACCGGACATCCAGCCTTGTACACCGGCGGTGCGGGAGACGGCCCGATGGAAGACGTCGACCATGACCACAGGCCAAAGAGAAGGAAGGTCGACAAGAATGACACCCAGACGCATGATTATTCACCATATTTCCACGTCAGCATAGCCTGGAACTTGACTGAGCCTGACGCTGAATGGACGGCTCTAATTCAAAAAATCAACGCCACCAAGTACATTCAGACACCAGATGCTGTGTTTGACGCGGTAAAAGTAAGGATTGGCAACGCAGTCCACAATATCCCGTTGGCCGCCAAAAGACCTGGTTTAGGAAAAAGTGGACGAGCGGGCTTGGGCTTGGGCTGACTGGATTTATTGATCAAGGGTCCGATGACGTGGATGTCGACACTCCAAAGTCCAGACTTGTTGGGGGATCTTTTTTCCAAGAATTGTGGTGCCCTGGAAGAGCACGACCCAACACCACGACGTAACTCGCACTGTCGCAGGTCGGGTAGCAAGTCGCTTGCCGTCCCATCTTCCCTCAACACTCCAAGGGTGCTTTGAGCATGCAATGGCATCCGCTTGCTGCGTGATTGTTATGTTTTTCTCAAAACCCCTGGAGTTGATCGAATTTAATGGCAATAGAAGCGTATATCGTTATATTAGTTTACCCAATTATAGCATGGATACCAAGCGTCGAGCCACAACGAGGTACGTAGTGCTGAGCTGGGCAAACATCACGTGATCTTGGAACACCAGGAACCATCCTTTCCAACGCGCATGCTGTACCCGACGCGTTCGTGTATGCTTTTTTTCAGGAAACCAAAATATCAGACTTTGTGCAACGATTGTTTTCTTTGTTTATTCCTTACAAAGTCACGTAATGTGTACGTAAATTAATCGAACAGAGAAGAAGAAGAAATAAACAATAAGAGTACCATCATCCGGAGTTGCACACATGACCAAACTCCGGCTTGGTATGGAAGAAAATACATAACTGCGCCAAAGCCTAGGCGCGCGTTTGCATCCAAAGGTCAGAAGCACACGTGGTGTCGCGTGTGGCGCAGTCCAGCTACTTACGCAGTGGTACACATTAGTGTCGCGTCCGAGTGCACCATACCAAGACGCGGTTTGAGGCTGAGGCATGAGATACTAGTAGTGGACTTTGGTACGCATCCATCCCGAGAAATTAAGGCATGCCGACGAAACGCGTCTAGTTATTGCGCAACGCAGCCAAGAGAGGAAACTGTGGCTGTGAATATCTGGGCAGATATATCAGACAGAGGTAAAGAAGGGTCAGATGATAAGGAGTATTCGAGGACGTTGGTGAGGAAAATGGGTAATATCGTTACTTGTTGTGTTTGGTTTGGGTACTAAATGACATTATAGACGTAGGAGTTGAGTTGCGAATATTTACTGGTAGTTATGGTATTTGCCGAAATCACTTTCGCTCTTTTTCTGTTATGCAAAGTCAAACTACATCTCACATCGCCCATTACTTACATGGAATCACGTCTCGTTCGCATCAAACGTACTCACTTATTTTCTCTCTCACACACACAAAGAAAAAAAAATAGAAGGCCGTGACTCGACCTGCCCGTATCACGTAATCGACATGTGATATATACATACTCGTCTCTCAGATACAGGCACTCCATGTGATAATTTTCAGCAGGTAGCATTATCGAACCATACGTGTCCTGGGGGACGTGACATCCAAAGACTCGATATTGTAAGCACTAGCCCTGCATCTCTCTTAGTCTCATCTATAGACTCTAGAACTAACAACAACCCATGCAAAACTTAGAGTCATCACCGCTTCTCTGCGAGGCGCATCACTAAATATACACCTGCAAACGAAGAGGCCCGTGAGTAATGTGATTGGTATGCCGGGCATCACGGTGAGGCAAGGTGTTGTGGGATGAGAGTAAGGAGGAAGAAGTGCGAGATGGGATCACATACGAGGACCGAGATGCAAGATCCGAGATTGATCGGATGATGTTTGACGAGTCTGATAGTTGAGAGACTAGAGCGGGACATGAACCAGATATGGAAGGAGTGTTTGTCGAAGAATGCAGAGGTCAGGTTCGATTTGGAATTTGTGGGTGGGATGGTGGAAGCGATGTTGGGATTTGCTGTTGGGGGTGATGGTGAGTAGTCCAAATTTTGCTAGGTGGTGGCGCATGAGAAACAGGTGTGTTCTAGTATCTCGAGTGAAGTGCTGATGTGTGCGGATATCAAGACGGGTGTGTGACTTGCGCAGTACGTTGAGGAGGGTAGGGTGATGGTTTTTGGACAGATTCAACAGCAAGGTGATGGTAGTCTGTGGACTTGCGCTTTCCCAAGGCGACTGGAGATGTCGTGAAGACTTGCAGCGTTTTTTGAATGCATGTAGAACCAGTTAGAAGAATTTATTAAGCGATATATCTTACATCTTCGCGATGGTCTGAAGAGCGTTGTCCTCTGTTGCAACTATGCACGGGGAGCGCGGCTTCTACGAACTGCTGGTGGATCTTCAGTCACCGCATTATACACGAACAGTATTTGTTGGAAGCGAAGCGCACGTATTTGCATCGTTCGATGGCGAGGAGGCTGATGTAGTCATGAAGAATGCCTTAGTGTTGGCACAGGACGTAGTCAAGGCGTGCAGCAGTGGGAAGAATCCAGACGGGAGTGACAGGGATTATGAAGAACACATGTTTTCACGATCCATGGAAGCGGTGATCGAGATGGCCAAGAGCGCGGAAGGATATTTCAGTGGACCCGAGCCAAAAGTGTATATATATAGGTTGAAAGCATACTGTTCTGGCCAGGGGATAGGCATGGCCTGAGCAGGAGACGATCAGACTTGGCGGAGGAGAGCTAAATAATTCTCTCCTATGGCAAGTAAGACAGGCAAGACAATGGATACTTTGGACACTATAGTATCCAAACCTAAGCGATAATTTCCGTGGCTTGTTGGCCTGATGTGTAAAGAGTCTCTGCCTGCGATGACATCTCGTGCGGCTCGGAGGGATTTGGTCAGCGTGGCCTAGCCCAAGATCATGCTGCATATGCTGCTTGCAACCTTTTATACAATAATAATGACCGCGTTGGCCCCCTTGGATGGAAGCTTTTTTAGCGCTATGGAATTGAAGTGATGTGCCTGTGATTGCGGCACAGGGCGATGGTCGGCTGACCGTATTCTGCATCGTGAGCAGCGAATCAGAATCGGCAACTCAAAACACGGGCACAATGAGCAACCTCGCAAGACGAATGGCCTCGACCGCAAGGGGTTCCGCGGCACAGGAATGGCGGTATGCGTACATCTCATTTCTCGCAGCTTCGCCGTCGACTGGATATACCCGCATAAATGTATAATAAGGTTGCAGCGCGACAAGCATGCCTGACCGGAGAGCTTAGTGACGTCCATCATCGATAGCCGGTGACCTATTTCTGGTGGTGTGGTCGAGTCGTGTGGATAAGGGGGCGCACGCCAGCCTCGTCTACCTTTCCCTACCCTTGTTATGAATACGAGCTTCGGCCAGTCAAAACAGCGGTCAGGAAGGCGATTCCCTGTCGAGACCGTTTGGTACCTGCATACCGGCTAGCGCTGTGGCCATGGTTCCGCCTTGTGAGGTGCACAATAAGTACACAGTACATTTAACCACGCGTGAATGCTTCGTCTTACTGCCGCCATCCAGAATGTCATCGATTCGCCAGACAAGGACGCCAGTCGTCGGCCGTCATCACACGAGCGGGAGGCGGTGACGCAACACGAGAGGGATCTGTGGCTGCTCCGACTGGCGCAGAATGCCTGCGCGGGACGATAAGATTTGTCGTGTGCAGAAGACAGCTGGTGTTCGAAGGCTGATGTTGTATTTGTTGCTGTGACGCACTTGGTTATGTTGTTCAGGGTGAAGGCGCTTAGCCACATCCGCTGCTAGACCCGATCCGCTCTCCACCCAACACGACTGCGATACCCCAGATGTCATTTCCGCTCGGGGCAACTCACGAACTCAATAGAGCCGGCAACAGCATGCCCATGCCGTTCCTGTGCAGTGAGGGCCGTAGCAATTTCCAGGGCCCCTAACTAACGCCTTTTGAGCCACAGCGGCCCACGGCCTGGTCAGCTCACAGGCCATGGCTCAGCACTCAAAAGCTCCGGGTTTCCAGCTTGACTTTGGACTCTTTTTTTCCTCGTTACGCAAGGCTTTTCGTTACGCATCGCCTCGTTGACAAGTCCTCTTGGCCTATTGTGCCCTGTCGCTCTTTATACGTTTTATATCTTAATAATACCCGCTTCACTCGCTCAGCGGATTAGCACCACTACCCCTAGTTTACCACAAAACCCCGTACGGATTCCAAGATGAAGTACGCATTTGTTGCAGCTGCCCTTGCTGGGTCCGTCTTTGCCTCCCAGCACAAGGCTCATGCTGGTTTCCACCAGCGCCGCCACGACCACGCCGCGGCTCCCCAGGAGGATGTTTGCACTGTCTACACCACCGTCTACGTGACTGGTTAGTAATAGAACAGCAGTCAGATTATCATTGATACATGTCCTAACATTCGACAGGCCCTCCTCCAAGCTACCCCACTGCCACCCCGGAGGTTCCCAAGCCCAGCAGCCCTGCTGTTCCTCAGCAGAGCCAGCCTCCTGTCTACCCACAGGGAGGACAGCCCCCTAAGCCCGAGGGTCCTAAGTCCAACCCATCTGTTCCCCAACAGAGCCAGCCCCCTCAGCCAGGTGTTCCAGCCTCCACTTCCTGCTCCGAGGAGACTCCCAAGCCCACCGGTCCTGCCCCAGGTGTTCCTCAGCAGAGCCAGCCTCCCACATACTCCCAGGGAGGCCAGCCTCCTAAGCCCGAGGTCCCCCAGCCTAGCAGCCCGGCAGTCCCTCAGCAGAGCCAGCCTCCTACCTACCCTCAGGGAGGCCAGCCTCCTAAGCCCGAGGTTCCCCAGCCCAGCAGCCCAGCTGTTCCCCAGCAGAGCCAGCCCCCTGTTTACCCCCAGGGAAGCCAACCTCCTCAGCCAGGTGTCCCAGCCTCCACTTCCTGCTCCGAGGAGACTCCCAAGCCCACCGGCCCTGC